CTACACCACATCAGGCCCCTCATACACCATCTGTGAGGGAATTACTACACCACATCAGGCCCTTCATAACACCATCTGTGAGGGAATTACTACACCACGTCAAGCCCCTCACAACACCACCTGTGAGGGAACTAGTACTTCACGTGATGCCTTTCATAACGCCATCTGTGAGGGAGTTACTACACTACGTGTCTGCTGATCAACACCTCAGCTCATATGCTCTACGTGTGTAAACATTAATCTGTATGTTCACTGTATGTTCCTTCACCTTTCTCTAATGAAGGCTTTTGTTAAACCACCAATGTATGTAATAAGTCATTTATGTCCAGTGTATATTTTCAGCCTTCGGGCTGCAAACTTTTTCAATAAACCGTTTAATATTATTATTATTATTATTATTATTATTATTATTATTATTATTATTATTATTATTATTATTATTATTATTATTATTATTATGTATGCATATTTAGTTATAAACTTCCTTACCTGTGTGTGGCTAGTTGTCTCCACCAAGTCTAATATCCAAGTGACCTCAGGATGGGCAGGTCAGTGTGACAATGACCCACTCACTGTCAGGCTGTCCCAGTGGCCATAGGAGTTGCTTGTTTAGGTATTTCAATTAAAAAATGTCTTTACTAACGGCGATTGTGAGGATAAATGGCTTGATATTAGTGGATATAACTGTTTAGTAATATATTTTTTTAAGTAGAAGAAAAAGTAACATTCATACTGGAGGAAAATATATATTGAATAATTATAGCAATGATGTCAGCTATATAATACCTTTTAGTTATTTAGTTTGATAACTGTGTATAGCCTCACACTATCAGACATACAAATCGACGGAACACTTCAACACGAAAGGACACAACCTCAAGCTCGCTAAAGTGTCGTGCAGGACGAATTTAAGTAAAATTAGTGGTAGACCTATGGAACAGTCTACCAGCTTAGTGTATGGAATCTAGACCAGTATTGGGTTTCAAAATTCTCCTTAAAACGACTATTAAGAAATATGGAACGATCTTACACTGGTCACTTGGTCGTCTTTCCTCTGCATGGCTATACAACTCATCACCACACCACTCATCACCACACAACTCATCACAACACAACTCATCACCACACAACTCATCACCACACCACTCATCACCACACAACTCATCACCACACAACTTATCATCACCACGCAACTCATCACCACACAACTCATCACAACACAACTCATCACAACACAACTCATCACCACACCACTCATCACCACACAACTCATCACCAGACAACTCATCACCACACAACTCATCACAACACAACTCATCACAACACAACTCATCACCACACAACTCATCACAACACAACTCATCACAACACAACTCATCACCACACAACTCATCACCACACCTCTCATCACCACACAACTCATCACAACACAACTCATCACCACACAACTCAACACCACACAACTCATCACCACACAAATCATCACATGGGCTAGTGAAATATAATAGTGCTTTAATGTGCTTATGGTTTTGAACTTACACTTCTCGTCTCTTGTCATAATTGAATAGGACAAATACTCTTTCACTGTGTTTTTGTTCCATGTCCCTTTGTGTACATGTATTTGTTAGTCATCAAGGAACTGTGGTATGTTCACATGTTTGTTTATTTCCGAGTTCTGGGAAGAGCCTCACTAATCCTGGTATCAGGTCGTGAAGTAAAATGATTACATCTTAAGACAATTGAGTCTGGGGGAGGGGGGGGGGGATCTAACACAATACCGAGATTAAATTTATGTATTGTAATTTCTTAGTATTATTCTCAGTTAATGTACTCTCCATGGAACAGCTTTATGACTCTCTCTCTCTCTTGTTTTCTACTTCCTTCCTCCTCTAATTAACCCTGTCCCCCAGTCAGACTAAGGCCCCTTGGGTGGTGAGGCGGTGCTGTGTACGGGGAGGGCAGAACTTGTTTATATCTTGTGTTTTATCTCATAATCTCTTGAGGCTAAGTGGAGGTTCACCCCTGAGCAGTAATCACTTAATGAACCCTAATAAGATATTACTATTTTATCTGAGTATATCGTCATATGTTTTTCTTATTCGACTTTTTTCTTATTTTTTGTTTTTGTACCTAGCAAACTATCCTCACTGTAAAAGTTCCTTAGTTATAAACATCACATCAGTACTAGACGTGGATTGCGATTTTTTTCTTTTTAGCATTGTAAAGTTTAGTTGGAATTGTTAATTCTTTCTTCGTTATTGGTTATTATTCGGTATACAGTTATTGTTAATGACCACTTATAAGGAATTCGGGAATATGACCGAAGCCACTGAAATCCGTTGCAGCATCAACACTAATGACTAAATAAAAAAAATACAAACATTTATTACAAATACAAAACAGAAATGTTAAAAGTTACATAAAAATATAATTAATTCCTCAAGTTATGTTCACTGAGGTACCGTACCTTAGTGGACCTCCTCTCGCTGTCCGCCTTTTTTTTATTATTATTATTTATTGGGCACTCCCCTACACCCTTGTGTATGGTGAAGCGCAAAAGCGTTTACAGTGCCCAACAGGGAAGCATGCTAAGTTCATGCTTGTCTGTATGTCTCATGAGTTAAGGGCGTAGCCTGGGTCATCTCTCAGGGTCAGGTCAAAGGGGATTGTGTCCCAGGGGTGTAATTATAGACCCAAGGGTCACGGCAAGTCCCACTGACCTTGTCCCGTGTATATTTTGGATGACCTCCCTTACTTGTGATGAACAAACCCACTCGTACCTGACACAAATACGTACAGTACTTCGTATTCATTTTGTATAAACAGTATGTCTCGCTGAATAGTAATAATCGCTGATTAATCTTTAAAAAGCAGCCAACGTATTTGCCTAAAAGGGATAACTTTTTTTATTGCTACAACTTAATGGAAATGATTTCATATATGATAAAATTTCATCAATTTCATTTAAGACGTCGTTTATCATCTTAAGATAGCCAAATTACGAATATACCTAAAGTAGCTCAGGTCAAGTTAGCTTTTATATGACTATCCATTTATATGTACGTTTATCTACATGGTCGCTTATAGCAGGTTCTTTTGCTTCTATTATTACGCTGCTTCTTTTATTATCTTGTGTTAGTACAGGAGGACATCGAAGTACCCGGAGAAACCTTTAATGTTAGGTTGGGTCACACTGGATAACACCCTTCCACATTTTTCCAAGGCTGGAGATTGAAGCTAGGACATAGTAATGAGAGATCTACACATCACCGCTGCCCTTCAACATTAATAAACATTTTTCTAGATATGGGTTGATATATTTTTCACGAATGTTCCTCTTTCACTGAAATAAAAGGATTTCGTTTTCTATAATCAAGACCTGATATAGAGAAAACACTAGTTGCTACGTATAACAAGGGAGACACAACTAACACTGTTTATACTACGACTGATACCACAGCTAATAAGAACAATGTTTATAGGGCTGGGGACCGCACTATAATGCTGATTTGTTTTTGTATTGGTAACAGTCAGGATGAGATGTGCGCCTCGTTCCCTACTGTAAAACATTACACTATAAACACACTTAATTCCCCATATGATTATATCATAGAATCGACGAAAAGTGCACGTACAATAAGTACAATACAGTATTACTTTTTTATTTTACTTTTTTGTCTGCGGAGAATCCTCCAATATCTGCCAACCATGTCCGTCATGTTCGTTATACAGTATATCAATCATTGGTTCTATCATATTCTTTTTAGGGTTAAAATACAATATAACTCTAGTTTTTTAGGTTAGGATAGGTTTTATGGGATAAGTTTAATAAGGTATCCTATTTTAGTTCATTTTATTATCGATAAATTATCGACGATCCTTCACGGCAACTCCGGGCAACTGTCAATATTTAGGAGCTACCAGATACTGTTACATTCTATAATTTACGTTTCATAAAATGAACCTGACTTACCTAACCTAACCTAACCTAACCGTCCACATACAAAAATTATACTTGAACAATTCGGCTTCTTTGTCTACAATGGTACCTAGTTTGTAATGGTGCCTTACTTATTGGTCCTTATTGTGGTGCCTTAATTAGTGGTGGTGGACTTTTGGTGGTGCCTTTTTCTGTGGTACCTTACCTTACACAGATGGCTTGTCCACATGGGTGCACCGCCCTACATTTGGGTAACATTTTCAATAGCGCTTATGTCTACAATGCATTCTTTTCTACAATAGTTTTACACGGTTTGCCCCATTTACAATGGTACTTCAGGTACAACTCTACCTCATCTACATTGGTGCCTCTCCCTCAGTGGTATTTAATCTACAGTTAAGCTTCCCCAATAATTGTATAACCTTATTAACAATGTTACTGGACTAGGAGAGTCAGGTGTCGACCCACATTGAGGATACGGGGCGACCTGGATTTCCCCACTGTTTGGTATTCACCTTCGTCAGTGAGAAGGGGCTTTCTACCGTACATCATCATACTTGTCGCGTCTCTTATTACTAAAATAGGGTCAGCTTACCACAAGTCACGCGGGTCATTCATCTTTTTCAGGTTAATTCATACTGATGTTTGATGTCAATTGATTTATTTTTTGTTGTAACGGCTGTTGAAAGGATTACTTACAAAACACCTTATACCCGCCATATACTACTAAATATCTGGCAAACATTAGCCTAAATTACTACCCAGAACTAACCTGTTACCTGTATTTACTATCAAATTCTGCCTTGGTGAAGTTTACTATCGGGTTGCAGGCAAAGGAATAAAATAATTTCCAATAGCAAACGACACGAGCCAACCAAACTTTGTGGAAATTAGCGACCTTACATTATTTTTTTGGGTTAGGTTAAGTTAGGTTGGTACTTGTCGTTTGGTATCGTTATCTTTGCCAAGGTACTACTACCCTTCGTTCCCCTACTCCCCACAAAATAAACCTTGATGTTACCATGAGAATTTCGACGACTAAGGAAAATGAAGGAAGCAATATGATAAATATTTTTATTAAATAATGATACATTAATTCGCTCGTTCGTTTAAAGTTCAGTGTGAGAAAATCTACGGCCAGCGCAGGACACACACACACACACACACACACACACACACACACACATAAGAAATTCCAGCAACTTGAGCAGTACATCACACCTTTTGTCTTTATAACAAATCCTTAAAATCTTCAGCCTATGAAAAATATTTGAAAATAAGAAAACAAACAGTTCACCAAGATGCCATATAGAGACCAAACATTTGATTATTATTAAAATTGTTTTAATAAAAAAAAATCCTATGAAATGTAACACTAACGACTCCAAATGTTACATCGAACCTATGTCACTGATTGATGTCTGAGTAACGAAGAATTTTTAGATTTCTCCAATATTTCAGAAAACAGCGTAAAGAGGCCTACCGTATCTCTCATATAGTTAGTTAATTCATAGATCACTCTGGTATATAAAAGTTTAAGAGGGAATTATGGTCAGTCATTACGTAAAGTCTCACCAAGTCCAGAAGTCAGTATATCTGTTTGTGTATATATATTTACAAACATGCTAAGGCGATATAATATTCGTCAAGATTACGAGTATCTGTACACTCAATTGGTGAGGTTAGTGTATTAAAGACAGGGTGGAGTGGAAGATAGAATCAAATCATTTGTCGTCATAATCGAGATTAATTTTCATCTTAATATACTGACGGTCATAATGGTTTATCTTCATTCAGGTTACAGTGTTTTTGTCAGGTGAGTGCTAACTATTGCATATAATTCAGTTATGTATGGTGAAAATTGTATGTAATTATTCAAAGTAAGTCTACGTCTCCTTCGTTTAGCAGATCAAATTAGCTTGAATTACGTCGATTTAGCCTTTGGTTAGTTCATAATAAAGTCTCCTCTGGCAGGAATAAGCTGAGTTAAAGTCTTTCTTCTATGTGAAACTTCATATAGATCTGGTAATTCAAGTCAGTATAGGATGTGAGTCTTAAAAGAAAAACATAGGAAATAAGGTATAGTCGTTGAGGATGAAGTCATGCCGTTCAAAATGTTTCGTTGACTTCATAATCCGTTGTTACGTTTCAACGACTAAGGTCTCCAAGCACGTAACAAGGTACTAGTGCATTATCAAATAAACATTATGAACTCTGTTATAATGTGCCACAGGAGAAAGGCTTTATAAATTCTGTATTATTATACTCTCAGGTTAAATTGTACGCAGTCTTTGAAATACTATGTTAGAAAAAGCTTTTTTAGCAATCTTAATAAGTGGCAGTCTTATCATCTCCTGAAGTTAGTCCCCATTCATGAAATTCTTAGTAAATTTTCATACGTTTATTTTTGGTTTATGTGAACCTGTGAATGAACTTAACAGTGTTTACAGCAAGCAGGAGTTCGGTGTCCAGTATGGAAGTGAGCGTCTTGGTGAAATCACGATATTGGTCACTCGTAGACGAGTCATGGTGAAGTAACTACTCAAGAAGGTCTTAAGAGAATTAAACAGAAATAACAAGCTAGTATTTTGTGTCTCGGTCACTTTTTTGGTGATGACTTAGTTTAGTTACAGACGTACAGCGAGCTGCTACGTTTTTACTGGCCATAAGTAAACTTAGCTTAACTGGCAGGCTTATAAATGAGATAAATGTAATAGTAATTATAGCACATCACGTACCCTGCTTATCTATGCAAGGGGAAACTTTCTTATAGATTCCATATAACTGGATAACACATCTCTTTAGTAAATAGATTCGAATCCTTTACAGTGTGTCTTTAGATACTCTTATCGTGGCATAAGATTACTTGTAAATCTTTTGATGGATTTAGATTATAGGTTCCAGTTTCATGCTTCATTAGAATCAACTTGAATAACTATCATTAAAATCATGTTAGAGACAGGCTTGTGGTCAGACGTCCCTGAAGGCCTTTAGCCTGTGTGGTCTCCCTTCAAGAAGCGGGCCAGGGAGGTGGGACACTCAGAGTAGAGCAGTGTGCAGTCCTCCAGGGCAGCACCAGCCTCCTGTGCCTCCCTGTACTTCTCCATACCACTGATGGACGGACTGAAATAAAAAACAGTATTATGGTTTTGTTATCACGTAGAGTTTATTGCTGTAGGGTGACAGCTTTAGATCGAATTATGACTCAATAAATATGACTTGTTTACCAAAAAATCATATAATATTCACTATTGCAGATTGTTTTTGCATTTTAATCCAAAGGTGTAGAAATTCTTTTTTAATCGCATTCACTTTTCATTCCTGAAGATGATGGCCTTAGTATTAGGTTCATTGGGGTATTTTGACTTTTCAGAAATTTTGAAGAATATGCCTACCCGATGTACTGCAGCTCTCACCTGACGCACGTTATAAGACACTCATTAGATTCAGTAGAAGACACTCACCTGACGTACTGCATAAGAGTCCTGTTGTACTGAACTAAACACTTACCTGATAACCTGCAGGAGTAAACCAAGTGAAGGTAACTTAGAGGCGATACGCTGTAGGTGACACACAGCCAGCTCTCGGCAGGCCAGGTGGTCCACCTTCATTGTATCCAGGGCTGACTCAACGGTGTCGATACTACAAGGTAAACAAAACGTACAACTTAGTGATATAACAGAGAAATCAACTAAGTTATTAACGATACACTTCACTATATTCTACTTGATAATGAAGGAATATTACAATGTATCAGTGTCTCTAGGAGCGTCTTTAAATTAGTACAGGCACTAGTTATGAACAGTTAAAAACTAAGTTATATAATTCTCTCTTATTCTTGAGTCTCTTCACAGCCAGTTTCAATATTCCACCCACTACATCTTATATCATCTGGAGCAGTCTTATAGATTCAGTTCCTAAAAAAATAAATATTTCATTAAAATATGTAATACCACACATTGAAATTCAACCTATTTTTCTTCTTTAAAATCAGTAACTGGAAGGGAATGTTTAACTGCCCGAGACAGGTAGTACTCCTTTGATCACAAAGTATGCTAAGTTATAGTACAATAATAGACTGCTAATATATGACATGAATTCGAAACTATGTGTGTGCGTACGTGTGTGTGTGTGTGTGTGTGTGTGTGTGTGCGTGTGTGCGTGTGCTTGCATAATTAAGATTGCCTCTTGCACAAACACACCGATTCATTTGCCTATTCAGTGTTTGCTATTTACCGACATTGTAACAACTAGCTACAAACTAATTAACTTCCAATCACATCTGAATCGGATGAAAAGTTCCCTGCGGAATATAATTTAGATCATCGTACCTGTACAAGTATAACTGTGTGTGCACCGTGTTTCTAATTTACCAATATTCCTCAAATGGTTAAACCATTGTCCTCAATGTGTTAAATCATCGTCCTCAATGTGTTAAACCATTGTTTTCACTTTGTTAAACCATTGTCTTCAATGCGTTAAATCATCGTCCTCAATGTGTTAAACCATTGTCCTCAATGTGTTAAACCATTGTCCTCACTGTTAAACCATTGTCCTCAATGCGTTAAACCATTGTCCTCAATGCGTTAAACCATTGTCCTCAATGCGTTAAACCGTTGTTCTCAATATGTTAAACCATTATCCTCAATGTGTTAAATCATCGTCCTCAGTGTGTTAAACCATTGTCCTCAATGTGTTAAACCATTGTCCTCAATGCGTTAAACCATCTTCCTCAATGTGTTTAAGTGTCGACCCTAAGAGTTAAACCATTGTCCTTAAGATTTAAACCATCGTCCTCAATGTGTTAGAGTATCGACCCTAAAGTGTTAAACCATTGTCCTCAAGAGTTAAACCATCGTCTTCACTGTGTTAATCCATCGTCTTCAATGTGTTAAACTAACGTCCTTCAAATATTAAACCGTCGTCCTCAAAGAGTTAAACTATCGCCCTCAATGTGTTAAACCATTGTCCTTATAGAGTTAAACCATCGTCCTCAAGGGTTAAACCATCACCCTCAAGAATTAAACCATCGTCTTCAAGAGTTAAACCATCGCCCTCAATGTGTTAAACCATCGTCCTTAAAGAGTTAAACCATCGTCCTCAAGAGTTAAACCATCGTCTTCATTGTGTTAACCCATCGTCATCAAAGGAATAAGCTATCTTCCTCAGAGTGTTAAACCATCGTCCTTAAAGGAAGTCGTTCTCAAAGTGTTAAACCATCGTGCTCAATGTACTAAACCCACATTCTCAAACAACAATTAATCGAACGTTGCTGAGAATCAAGGAATCTTAAAATAAATACTGTTGATGGATAGGCGATAATTCTATATAAATATCAGATTAATGTCGCTAGTAAGGACCCACGTGATAATGGAGGAAGGGGGGAATTCACATGCTGAGGACGTGGTTAGGGTCGACTCACTCACCTCTTGAAGACCTGAGTGAGGAAGGACACATCGTCCACTACTGACCGCGGATGGCGTTGAGAGCCGTAATATTTGTGATCGTCGTAGTACTCCAGGTGCTCCAGTTCCTTCTCGGGATACAGTCTCGTGCTGATACCGAAGATGAGCACAGAGAACAGGAGAAGAACTCCAAGGATCAGTCCCGTGTAAATGACCGCCTTAACAACTGCCAGGGCTGTCAGATCTGTACGGGAGGATCAGTCTCAGCCAGTTTCCTCAGTACTCACCTGTTAATAACGCGATCGAGGACACCCAAGTCATCCCCAGACCAGCCTGATGACAGCAGCCCCCACAAGTCCCAGGAGAGGCTACGGTGTTCAACATTGGGCAGGAATAGCACGTGGATGATGTAGATGGCGGAGAGGCTGATGAGCGTCATGGTGATCATCTGCACGAAGAACACACCCAGGCCGTCTGACCAGGAGCGTGTGTCAACAAACTGCCTACGTTACCTTACTCTTATTATGTAACCTTAACACCTATTATATTTCCTTATCTGCTAAATGTTATTGCCTATTAAAGCTATAACCTCATTAGAAGTTGTTGCTAGCCTTGTTATCATCTTGACATAATTGCTGAAACTACTAATCATCGCGACAGTATAATGCAGTATAATTTATCAACTTCATTTAATATCTAATTTATTGGGGGTAAATGAGGTGTATCAAACGTCATAATAAGATAATTTGGTTTCATTTGTCTTACTTTTTACGCAGATCATCTTCATCTACTCTCATTTGTTGTGCTCTCAATCTTATGAAACATAGACCCTTAATATCTAAATTTGCATAACACTTCCGGTTCTTTCCCGTTCAACCTAGACTAAAATATTAAAGTTGATGTAATTTTTTTTAGTATGATATACCAACAATATATACTTTAAGCCTTTATTTTACATATTCCTTGGTGGCATCTACTTGTTATCTTTAAAATTCAACATCATGCAAGTCATCACAAAAGCTTAATGCAATAATTCTTTAGTTCTAATTTGTTACGGGAATTTAGTTCAATAAAATATATATTTTGGTGAAATAACTCTTAAGACTTTAATTAGTTTACTAATATATAAAAACACCTGAGAATTTTACATAATGCGAACTTATTGAAGAAAAGGAAAACTATATAGGAAAAACACCAAAGACTATATACCTGTTATAAATTATCTCAAATTCTTAAATATTTAAATGTGTAACTATAGCAGCATGGAGATAAAGGAACAAAGCAAAAATAGATATCTTACTTATCTCTGTTTTAAGAAAAGTAAGGAAGTTAAGCAGTTGGATTCTTACACTGATAATGAATGTCCAGTAATGGTGTCTAAAACCCAGATAATCTTAAGTTCACAAGATGTTTTTGTAATTTTTTATAAAGACTCGCCTGAACTAACACTAATCCAAGCCAGTTTGGGGGTTTTCTCACCTGCCTGACCGATAGTGACGAGCTTCTCTTCTGTCCCCAAGGTCTGGTTCACCACCGGCACTGTGATTACCGTCCTGGTGAGGCCATTAGTGGCTTCTTCATCATCTCCGGCGGAGGCACAAGTCACCAGGCACGCCACCAGTACCAACACGATCTTCAGTGTCCATGACATCTTGCACCAGCAGGAATCAGAGTCTCGGGTGTAGAGAAGCTAACACAACTGGGAGTGAAGGAACAATAATAACAGACATAACAATTGGTCATTAACTTATACAGTGTTTCCCCTCTCCTCCCCTCCCCAAGTGCCCAGGCAAAGTTGTTCTCTCAGATGCCGTAGAAATAAACAAGATCTTTTGCTACAAAATCTGATCCTTGCTACTTGTATGTACACTATGAGATGGCCTAACCATCCCCCATATACGGAGTCTCCATAATAGCCGCCATGACACACTTTTGGCGTCTGGGTGTGAGAGGACAGGTAGGGCTGGTCCCTGTATCCCAGAGTTATGTAGGTAGACTTAACGGGACAAGAGCTTTCCCTACCCACTGACCGTGCCTAGTGTTGGATAGCAGCCTTTCTCACCGCAGTGTATGGTGAGGGGGATTATTATCAGCACACACACACACACACTTTGTCCCAATGCTTTTTACTCCTTTTGTCATGGTGTTTCTGTCAATTTGCGTCGTATATTCGATTTCGGTATTTACATCCACATAATAAGATGACGAAAAAGTAGCGCTACTCCACAGGTAATGAGAAAAAACATCAACTACACCTGACAGAAAAAATGAACGATACAGTCTATATTCATCGATGGAAAATCTAATTACAAGAGACAAATTCCAACAGAGAGATGTCAGTCGTCCTTAAAGGAATCCAATCCCATCTCAACCAATTTATTTTTAATTTATTGCGAATTTGTCTAACTTAAAATCTACAATTATTTCGTGATGTTTTGGTCTAATAGTCTAATTGTTCTTTTTTCTTTGTCCTGTCCTCTGATATCACTACGATTCACTTTATTAAGCGTTCTATAGCCTATAAAAGTCAGATATGTCCGGTATACGAGTTCATTCTTCTTCCTCCACCACATGAAAATATATGGAATCAGGTGAGTTCAAGTTTATTATGTAAAAGGTTGTGTTCAATGCCGAGTCATGTACCTGGAAGACCTATCTCACGACTGACACCCGAGTTTTTTTTTTTTTTTTTTTTAGGCTTTTAAAGTAGATTTTTAAAACAACTGTCACCGTCACTTAACCAAACGTAACGCACTTTATCGTCACTCAAACATTAAGGATAACAGTGTTGCATTATTATCATTACTATAACCAATTCATCAGTTGTAGATGGCCAAACATCCGGATAATATAGATTAGTATTTCATCCGAGTTTAAGAGTTCACTGATCCCATGCCAAGGAGCTGCCACTTACAGATTCGGTCAATGTGTTGGCCCAGTGACCCAGGGAGAGCTGGGCGGCAGCCAACACCCGCCTACCTACCTGTTGCAGCTACACATGAATATTGCATGTGACCTAATTGATGGCACTGTCAATGAGTTAAAGTTATACCGGAATTACGTAGGTTCTACTTTTCGTAACACTTCAAATATTTCAACTACATGAGTGAACAGCTGTGATTTTGTATGGGATGGTAATAATTAAAAATAAACTAAAATATAAGTGAACCAGAATTAAGGAAAATGGATCAAGGATTACAGATGGCTCCGTATAAAAACAAAACACAGACGCACTCGTAGTTGCCGTCCATATATCCGGAATTATGGTTTGGTAGTTTTAGTAGGCGAACAAATTAATTCCATATAAATACTGAATACAAATCTTAGATTATCCCAATTTTGTGACTTTTTCAAAATGTTGGCCGGACATCAAAATTTCTTCTGAGGTGGTGGTGCTCTATGGAAGGGGAGGGGGTGTCTTTGTAATAGACGCTAAATGTCTTGATTAAAGAAGTATATAGATAGATCCAGTTTGAGTCAACCTCACATTCACAACCAACACAAATATCCTCACCTGTAATTAAGGCCTCTGCACCGTTCCTCCTCAGCTGAGTCCGTGGCACCACCGGGAGACAAGTTACCCCAGCAGGAGTGAGCACGAGAATGTGGTACCTGAGCCTGGTGAGGTTGCCTGGAGTCGGCGGCCAGCCTTGGCCTTACCCTTGTGACCTACCCAGTACTCCAGGCCTGGAAATATCACAAGACACAACTATTTAGTAATTATTTTTAAGTCACACTTTAAAAATCTTCTTTTTGTGTTTCGTGTTGTTGAATATAAAGACTCCCGTCTAACTGTGGCAGTAAAAACATCACGAGAGTTGAGGATATCATAATGCTGTAATTGTTTATCTGGTGACCTGCTGCACCTCCTCTTCTTGGAGCAGCTAACCCGCTTGAGGTGAACGTCATGTGATTGTTAATGCCACTTCCTGCCAGCCAGGAGGTATCAATTGTGCTTCAGTTGCCTCATACACATTTAGGTAACAAATAGTTGTACTGTTACCCTTTTTGACAGATAACTTGCAGGTGGTTGTATGTGTTCCATAGCTGTCTCCCAGTCCGAGTGTGTTTAGCTCCCAAAACTGAAAGGAATTCTTTGTTGATAGGTGCAGGAGCTTTTCAGTACCTGTTATGAACAAAGAAACTATAACCAGAGTACGAGATGAAGGACGGGTCGAACATGTTACTCCCCCTCTGATGCACAGGAGAGGTCCTCGCTCATATCCATCAACCAGTAGCCGGAGGAGGTCGTGGGGAAGCAACGATATATTGTGCATGAGTTCCGTAAATGTTTCTCGACCTCTTGCCACCTGCAGTACATTCACCTGCTGTTGTCTGTCTGGGCCGCTCTATTGGTTATTGAGATGATTTTCCCCGTCCTTTCTCCCTTTTACCTTCAACTTGGCCTTGGAGTATATTCATGGTGAATATTTTTTTATGCTTTTTGACTAGACCCCCAACTTTTTTGTCTCACCTCTAACACTATCGTTCATCATAACTACTGTACATTAAAGATACATATGTTTCAAAACCTGTTATATTTCACGGACTGGCACAGCAGTGACTTTAATGAGTAGGTGTTGTTGTTTTTTTAGAGAAAGAAAAAAGGGGTGAGAATGGTTTACGGAATGTTTGACACAATTTGTGGTCTACAACAGTTATTCTCGACATAAATTTGGGGGAAAACTGAACGTCATGTGTGACTGTGATTTTGGTCTTTTACGGATCTCAGCTGTCTGAAGTTTAAAGGTTAAATCCACGAAATGGATGTAAGAGGGGGAGGAAGACACCACTGGGTTAATGAAACAAGAGTTTATTAAGCACCTCTCAGCTAGACCCAGCAGGACCGTTTCCTTTGGTGTTAACAACATTCAATAATTGTCTTTGATTCTTGGAAGTAGCGGTATTTGACATCAATTATCCCTATGCAAATTAGACTTGCAATAACAGCAATTGGATGAATTTATAGCCACAAGTCGAAGGAGAATGTCACATGATCTTACACAAAACATTTCTCACACAGTGTTTGACAGCACCTTCCGGAAGGGAAAACACTGGTGGAAAAAGTTCAAGTTAGGGATAATATTTCTCCTGTTTTCGTTCACCTGATTTGAAATTTTAAACCCTCTTTATACAGTTAAGACAAGGTATTGGAGGGAAGTTTTATAAACAAACCATAGTGGCTACCAGTGTCTGACGGGATACTGTAAACGTAAATTGAGAACATGTCATAAGGATATAATACTGATGAGTCATGGTAGAAATTTAATGTTGCCGACAGAGGGGTGGAGGAATGTGTGCCCCAGAAGACGAGAGGGGAAAGCAGAAGAAAGTCCAATTGGATGAATAATTCACCAACGAGAGCTATTAGGAGAAGATGCAAGCTCTGGTAGAAATAACAAGACGCCAAGAGTTACACGAACTACGTGACATTAAAGAGACATAGACTAGCTAGACCAGATAGGACATGAAACTAGCGAGATGAGACTCCGAGGAGACTGTAAGATATGATCTGAAACCCAAATCATCACATGTGTACACCAGAGGTACAGTGAAAATGAGAGATACTGTTAGGCGCCTGAAGGACGGAAGTGACCGAGTTATAGCAGTTGATAATATAACAATACATTATATGAATACAGTACATGACATCAGTGATCACACAAGAGACACTTGAAGACAAGCCAGTTCCCTTCATTGTCACCATTGACGTCATACCATTAACATGGTAAATTCTGGATCACAATACTTATAAAAGAACTGTATTGAAGTCTGCGTGAAGAAGGAAAACGAATAAGGTCGTAGGAGAAGTATTTATTTACCAGCAATTCAGTTTTATTTCGAGTAGTCTGTCTGACACAGTCAGAAAAACGTTTTATTAAGCTCAATATTACTAAAATCTAAATAAAACAGAAGAAAAATTTAATTTACATTGTTTAATATCCTGCTCTAATATATTTTCAGAGATAAAGACTTGGTAACTAATGTATAGGAAGCTAAAAGGCTACTTTCAGCAGTTTCACTGTTACAGAAAGACAAACATAAAATCTTAGTAAACTACACAACTTTACATCAGAAGTAATTTACTGTGCTTTATGGCTCGCTCAATGTAGAAAACAAAGTTTGTTTTTGAATATAGAAATGTTCTCATATAACCTAACAAAATATACTAAAAACAACTCTCGAGGTCATAGTAGAGGTTCAGACACCGAAAAGTCCCACACGATTTCTATCCTTAATGGAGGGTCACTTACTCTCCTCCAAGAACTAGGTTGGGGATTTCGGACAATCGTAGAAGAGACGCGCGCAGTCCTCCAGGGCAGCACCAGCCTCCTGTGCCTTTCTGAACTCTAGACCACTGATGGACGGACTGGAAGCAAGGCAAGAGGTTCTTCACATTCAATATTTCCATTTGTTATTTGCATATACTTCATATATGTAATGGTGCAAAACTGATATGAATTACACCTCAGGTAAATCAACAAGAAAATGTTAATACAACATTCTTTCAAAATTTGCGGACATGGTACGTAATAAACATGTGAGAGACGTTCTATGTGAGGAGCTGTATGGTATCTCATCTGTTATACTACTGGTGCAAACTCACCAAATATAATACAGGAGACACTCACCTCATAATAAAGGAATCACTCACCTAATACGTCATACAAGATACTCACCTCATATACTGGACGAGGGAAGCTAAGATGGGCATCCTGGAGGAGGCTCGCTGTAGCTCACACACGGTGCGTCTCCGACAGGCTACGTCCTCCACCCCTAGTATGGCGAGAGCCGAATTCCTCTGCGTCGATACTGAAAGGCGACAAGAATACCTTAGCCCCAGCCCTCTAACCTTAGCCTAACTGCTTTTGATTAATAAATGATAATAATAATAATAATAATAATAATAATAATAATAATAATAATAACAATAATAATAATAATAATAATAATAATAATTAACGGTTTATTGAAAGAGCATAGCAGCCAGAAGGCTGAAAATATACAGTTACATGATTGGGGAATGGGTTTCGATTTACAGATAATATACAAGTAACATAAGTGATACAAATAAGATATATAATAACTAGATGGGGAAAAGCTCAAACTACAGGGCATTTCAACATAGTGACAGTGCAAGAAGTAGGATATACTGGGAATGAATACACTGGTTTATTACAAGTTATTGATAATTTGTACAGTGATTGGGACTGGGCTGTTCTTATAGCGATCAGTTCGTGCACGTATGGGCTGGATGCGGTTGTGGTATCGAACAGCAATTCCCGGGCTAGGGATCTCAGGTGGTAGTAGGAGCCGGTGTCGAGGATGGTGCAGAAGCTTCCTACCAAATTTGCAGATGAGGTCGTGGTGACGGTCAGTGAGAGTCGAAAGGGTCAGTGTGTTGGGCTCTTCTTCATATGTGGAGTAGGAAGGGGAGAGCATAATCTTGCATGCCCACTTTTGCACTTTTTCTAGGTGTTTACGTTGTGTGGCATTTAGGGAGGAAGACCAGGTAGGGGAGGCATAGGTGAGCTTGGGAAGTATGAATGTTGAGTAAACACTGAGGAGCTCGGGTGCAGGAACTCCGAGGGACTTGAGTCGGCGGAGGAGGTGGTGATGGAAACTGGAGGATTTGACAACTTCACTGACGTGTGGTTTCCAATTTAGTTTGTTGTCTATGGTGACGCCGAGGAGCTTAGTGGAATCTACAACTTGGAGTGTGTTGGGACCTAAAGTAATGGAAGAGGGTGGGACAATGTCGGAGGAGAGGTTGATGTGCATAACCATGGTCTTGGTATGGTTGATGGTGACGTGGTTGTTGGTGGCCCAGTTTTGGAGACTGTTCAATAAATCCTGAAGGGCGGTATAGTCGGGAGCAGAATTGTTAACGCTAATCCCAATGGTGGAGTCGTCGACATATTACGTTAGTCTTCCCTGACTCTTCCTCAAGTCTAGCTGAAATGCATCTTATTCTGGCAGAGCCTGGTCTAATATGTGACGATTTCTAAAATGACACACACACACATATATTTGTTTCAGTACCAACTCACTCATTATCAGAAAACTCTCATCTATTGTGACAATACTTTCTTGGTATTTTAATCAATAGTTTATTTGTATTATTTTTGCACTAGTAATTAGACAACAAGTAAATAACTTCCATAATGTCCTTAACGTCCTTTAAGATGTATAGGCTATTTCTATTATTCTAATGAATATAATCATATTCGTATTGTAATGACTAAAAATTCTGTACATTGTATATTCTGGGAATTTTAAATATCTAAGGAAGGGTGGAGCTCTCTACATTAACTTGGCCACACATGACTCGTGTGGGCGAGCAGGGAGGCAAGAAATTGATTGGATGGGGAATCCTTGCCTGTGATCATCTTGGAGGAACAACTATCATACCTGTTGAGAACCCTCGTGAGGAGAGACACACTGCCCATCATGGCTCGGGGATACGGCCGTCGTCTGTGATAATCGTAAAAACTGGGTCGGTGGAAGTTGTAGATGTCGTTCCTGTCTTTATAACCATCCTCCTCTTCCTCCTCTGTCGTTTCTAGTGCGCTAAGGGTGCCAAGGGCGAGCTCGCGGAACAGGAGACAACCTCCGACCACGATGAGCATGGCAGTGCCCATCCTAAACAAATCAACGATGATCGCATCTGTACAAGGAGAGGTGTTTGAGCCGAGTTGCTAACACTGTTATATTCAGCAACTGCTCCAACAGCTATAAGTTATCACTGGGTGAGGCCACTACCAGCATTTCTTTTCGTGATTCAGAAAAGGTTACAAGCAAAGACAGAAACAAGACATGGATCATAGATGGCAGAGGGGAGGGAGGGTGAGAGAATCAGCTGTACACGTGATGACTACTTGGAGTTTCTGCTTATCACTTCTTATAACAATACTTCGTATCTGCTAACACATATTAATAACAACAACATACAGTTAATCTAACAACACTTGCGACTAATGACCTTAAGTACCCACATCCACTGCGTATCATCGTCCATATAAGATACACATTGATCTTGACATCTGTTATCACTTACGAAAGACAGTTACTGGTTTCTAACATTTGCAATAATTATTCATCATAATCTGCATAGTATTGACTATAAAATGAGCTAGACTCCACATACTGAACATTTTGGTAACCAGGACAGATATGCTATCAACACTTAAAGATTTCCTGACAGAAAGTGAACTTCAAATTTCATATGTTTAGTTGGTATCAGTTATTCATAAACAAGAAGCTCTCTTTTTTTTAACCCGGCATTATTGAAGATGTTTTCGGGATTGTAATTATTTTTTTTTAACGAGAAAAAATTCATTAGGTGTGAAAGTAAGGATAAACTACTATGAAACACTTAAGAAAAGCAAGAGGCTGTTCTTCTGGGAGACTTTTTATGTTTGGTATGATCCAGTTAATATTACCGGGACCATAACTCACTATGCAAGTCGGTTTTTTTTCCTTTTCTTCGCTCAGTTGTTGGTTTCTCTTAAAATCAGACAGAGCTTCTCTATGCATTCTCTTAATTAGCCGGGGTGTGGGCCTAAAACACACCTTACATTAAAACCTTTCAGTAACCTGGTGTATATCTAAAGCAATTCATATAGAAACCATAGCAACTCTTTCTATAATGAACCTCCACCGTGCCCACCTGATATGATCTTGTACTCTGGCTCCAACACGTCACTTTTATTTGATGTAGCGGAGGAGCAAGTCGCCAGGCAGGCCACCACCAGTATCGTCACCAGCGCCCGCGTCATCCTTCACCAACACCAGAAGAGGAACTCTTGTAGGACGTGATGCTGACAGATCTGGTCAGGGAGAGAAAGAGCAAGAACTTTCGATACACAAGTATAATGGAAACTGGTCGAATGTTTACAAGGGAAATTTGAAAAGTATGAGAGTGAAAATAAGTACACTTTGAGGACAGTGCCTGGAGAGGACATCTCAAGTGACTTGTCAACCAGGAGTCAGTGCTAAGACTCACAAAAAGCCGAAAATGTGACAGAGCTAACTCTTTCGGGGCGAGAGTTATGAACTCTTGGACTAATTTAAGTGTTGTGACGACACCGAGTGTGAATTCATTTATAACCAAACTTGACCAACCCTGGAGCAAGTTCATGTTCAGGTACAATCAAAGACAAAGTCGTGTCGCGGTTTTGTCCGAAGATTAAATATAACTCTTGAAACATTAGAGAGAGCCCCCTACCACAAGGCAGAGCGCACCAAAAGTTTAGCCCTTTGGCATATGTTTTAACCAAATTTCACGACACGACTTTTGTATTTCACTGTACTTGTACTGTACATCCGGGAGCCAATGCATGACCAGAACTTGCTAACAGTTGTTCATCGATGATGTGCGGATGTTTTTTGAAAAAAAAAAAGATACCGGCGAGTGAACTACCTTGTATAAAGTAAACTCTGATTTCTAACTTTATGCCATAAAACAAGTACCACTGAAACCTCAAAAGGATAAACATAACAAGCACTACTACTTCTGAAAAGGGTGCAGTGGCAGAATGGATGCAGCGCTTACCTCCTGTCATAAGTCACTGGTTCTCAATCTAATTTTGCATTCAGAGAAAGCGATGGTGGTTGATCTCAGTGCCGGCCACGCTGTCTTATTGTGTACCATAAAAATAGCTTAGTCCACGGTGTGCTTTATCCACTTACTTTTATTATTGATGATGAAAATCTGAGACGTTAATATTCTATTGTAATTTTGTTCTGTCTAGTGACCATTTCTCTAAACTCTGAAAGAACATAAGGCGAAGAAGAGAACTGGAAAGTAAAGGTTCATTTTGTAATTCCCTCCACGACGTCACCCAGCTATTACAGACCACAGCGACCCAGTGATCACACCAGGCGGTGAAGTCTAGATCTTGTCAAGGTTCACGACAAGAATTGAGAATTTTATAAAGACGCATGACGATAAGTTCAGAGAGACGTGCCTTCCTCTTCGTGAAATTGTAGCAGTTTTTTTTATAAACACTCAGAGACGCCTATTACACTATTCGAAAAGCAAAATTCTATCAAACTTGATGACGTATCTAGAAGAATGAGTCAAACTATGTGCTTGTCACTATCTATAAGAAGAATCTGGATCAAATATTGTTGAAACGGTTGGTTAATTCCCAATTAACCATGTTAGTTCACATATATTATATTGGGCTTTAGTAACGAAACCCAATTGAAGTTTCTTGTTTTATTATAAAAGTATTATGTTTATATAATTCCTGAGTGTAGGTCAACCGTAAGTTCCACTATTTATGAGTGATGAGAAAGGACGGCGTTTATGTAATATAAACGTGGATCAACGTCCGTTCGATATTAGTTGGTGTGAGTGACTTTGAGTAGTGACCCATCGAGGGAGAACGGAATTGGGAATTCCCCCCCCCCCCTCGAGGGAAGACGAGCCATCCACTGTGGCTCTCAAATAACGTCTTCCTCTAGTCAAGGATATCAAACTACTGCTCGCTTCAGGTGGCCAGAGAGCCGGCTACTTATGCCTTTACTCAGCATAGTATGATGCAGCTTCCCTTGGGCACACCTTATCACGTGCATTGAACATGTCACCTCATAGCCAGTGGAAAGTTACAGGGGATGAATCTGAATATAAATTAGATGTAAGTAACCCATTTATATAATACTTTCTGTTGATGAGACAGGGGCCATTACATTGTCACCACATTAAAGATCTGGCAAATAGTTGAGTAGTACTAAGAACAAACTTCAATTTATTTCGTAAACTAGAGATAAATGCAAAATATATATTTTTATTCTTAAGGAAATTTATATCGATCCATATATAGGAACGATAAGACAAGCTAAAAAGGATATCATTATACCTAACCAAATCTAACGTAATTTAAGTATACTGTAGTTTGGTTATCACAACAAAAATAAAAACGTCTGTTACGTTTTAAGTTTCAAGACGATTTTACCTAATTAAAATAACACATTATGTTAAATATATATGTTTTATATTTAAGATGATTTCGTTTACACGTCTTCTGGTATCTATATATTTCACTACAGGTTCACACTACAGTACACAGCGTTGTTACCAGATGGCCTCATTGTTCTTACCTCCAGGGAAATCAACCAGTTTTACCAGGTAGTGACTTCACCGTCAATATCAAGAAGCACGTAATCCTATCACTAGTGTATGAGTGTGAAGTTCCACCCCAGTATACTGTAGATCCCTGAGGCGCGAGGGGCCTGCTACGTACACCAACACCCAGATTCAACTGAATGAAATTACTCTTCACCTGTCCAGTATCAAAATCACAATCTTAACGCTCTAAAGGTTGTGGTATATGATGGTATCAGTTAATAAATTTCCTAAAACGACGTTGCATAAATTTCGGCTTACATCTGAAACATTGACTGTATTAACCATTGTCAATAATACCTGTTTACTATAATCATTTGTTCTGGTGGTATATTGCATCCCGCCTCACGAGATCACCAACCCCCTGATGTTCCGGGTTATGAGGTGTCGAGTTTCAGTGCAAGTGTCCTCCCGGGAAGGTAACTCCAGCATATGATGGTATTAATAAAGTATAATTTTTATTATAAGTAAATAAATAAATAAATAAATAAATAAATAAATAAATAAATAAATATATATATATATATATATATATATATATATATATATATATATATATATATATATATATATATATATATATATATATATATATATATGGTATCTAAAGCCACTTCTTGGGGTTGTAGAATATGCTTATAAAATGGCCATCTTGTTCAGTGTGAACTAAAACTTATAATAAGTTTGTGGCAACAAAGCGCGTCTTGTTACACCACACCGGCAAGAGGTGACACCATTTCTCTATGAATTTACACACACACACACACACACACACATATATATACACACGCACGCGCGCGCGAAATTCTTGTTGAATAGGGAAATATTTCTGTATCTACTTTTATAACTCAGTGGTAAATCATTCGTATATGGTAAAATTTGTTCTGCTCCATTCATGGCGTCGTTTACTGCAATAAGATAGCAGAATTATGCCTAAAATGATTAGGTTAGGTTAGGTTGTATTAAATTATTCATTTATAAGTATCATTAATATCTAACTGATTGTTTTATGTATATATACTGCAGTATATACTAATAACATATCTAATCACATAACTATAATGGTTGCCCTTCTGGTACGAGGATGGCCGGCCCAAGGGCCACCTAGTCGTGAATTTGTTTAACGTGTAGAAGCTGTCGCCAACACAACAACCACACCCTAAATTAACGAGTTACATGACCCAGTGTCAAGGAATAATCCGAGAAGACCGGACAACTCGCCAACTCCACTGGCTAACCATTACCTCAGAACACGATCTGCAAATCGATTAACATCCGGGTCCCCAATTACTGCTGGGTAGATACAGGCAAATGGCGTAAAATGAAAACAAAACAAAACATAGTTTCACCTTGCTCGATAATCGAACCCGGGTCCACTGGCTTGCGAGGCGAGCATGCTGACCATTACACCACAGGTCCCCAAAATAACTAAAAAAATATTTTTTTTCTCGTGCTGGTCAAGCCCCGACCATTTGTTAGCTAGACCCCCGGACAACTCTTTCGGAGCTTCGCCAACACGTCGTATTTGTATTATTATATCGACCTAATTATATGTTACAAAGTCACTTGTGAGTTTTTCAAAGTTCTTTTTGATAATGTTTACTTATTCTAAAGTAAATGTCAACAAATAGATTACTTAAATAATACGAAAACAGACAAATAAAAATGGAACTTCACCTAATATATATTGTATGTTACACTAAACATGGATAATTGACGATTAGTGATAGCTTCTATGTATTTCTTTTTTTGGAAACGTTTTACAGGCCATAAACGATCCTGTAGATCATAAATACGTATTCATATAAATGAATACCTTCATACTAAACCTAACCTAACCTACTTAAAGTATAATTTAACCATCATATGACAGTAAACGACATTTTAACTGAAACAGACATAATTTTTATTATATACGAATTAATCTAATTAAGTTGTAATAATAAAACCAAAAAGTTCTCACTATTTGACTAAAACGACTGATGATTTGTAAAAGCTTAGTCGTAGACTATATAACCTGGCCATTAAAGTAAATATGGATAATTGCCTAATATCGATAATTTCTATGCATTATTTTAAGCTTTAACTAGCCATCGGAGATCATGTAATAATAATAGTAATAATAATAAACGGTTTATTAATAGAGTTGCAGACGGTGGCTGAAAATATACAAACTTACATGTAATTTAGACATAAAAATATACATTCGATACATTTACAGGGCTGGACCCTCCTGTCCCACCACCAGTCCACCACCCTATTCACCCCTCACTGAGCCCACCAATGACCCTCCGTCTTGCAGTGACTGGAAAACAAGTAAACGGGATGCAATCTCCTAAACCTTCATAACCCATTAAAACCTCACTACGCCACACAGTACGGAGTGTTGTGAGAGGAGGAAGTTCTCCACTGTTATACACTTTCACCTCCAAAAACACACTTGTAAACTTTCATTTTTATACTTTTTCTATGGTCAGTTCGTCAGTGAGTCACGTGTCTTGGGCCTCATCCTTGACGAACAGGATACAGTCCACACCTATTATTTGGCTAGTCTTCATGTCGGGAGAGAGTGACAGACAAACAGACACATAGACAGACAGAGGACCGAGGAGAAAGAATCTTGTTTAAATTCAGCTTCTCTATCTTGCACAAGACAAGTCAAATAAGATCAGCGCTGTGTCACGGTTCTGTGTCTTCCATCCACTCATGTCAGTTGAAGCATCTCCGTGACACCCACCTTGACTCCCTATAACATTTTGGATTTTTTGTTTTATATATACGTTATATATATATATATATATATATATATATATATATATATATATATATATATATATATATATATATATATATATATATATATATATATATATATATATATATCATGTTAGCTGTTTATTGTTGTCACGTAGAAAATGATAACGTTTTAGACATTTAGTTTTGTTATACATACGATGGTGATAATAACATAGTTACGTGTTCTCAAGCCACATCTGTAGAACCGCCAAAGTACCAAACTCTACCTATTATAAACGGGACATATCATAGATTGAATATTGAGTTTACATTCTGAAATTTAAAAATTACAATTTAATTATTTTTAAAAGTGCAGAAATATTAAGATGTTTATAAAAGCTCTAACTGAGTTGATGTGTATTATGATTAACTCCACAAACACAACAAAATATATTTATCAGATTAATCTCTTAGTCCACGAGTCACTGCCCTTGTATTATCCAGAATGTAGCGACGTTTGCCTTAATTACTAATTTGACCACATGTGAGTCCTGGTCTTATAGTATTATGGTGGATGTCAACGCGGGTTTACCACGTGTACAGTACACACGTGACAAATCAGTGATATCTTATGAGAACGTATTCACAAGTTCAGATTCAATGGCGAACAAAGCCGCAACCAACCCTCCTTAATACAAGTTGGTGGTCAGAGTGCACATAAAAAATACACCTGGCGTTGTCGATACTGGTTAGATGGATTAATTTCTAAAATTCGGGAATTAGCTGGTTCCACACTGTGCCTGAAGGTGTATATATTGACTAACCAGCTGAACCTGCTGTAGGCAATTTGTTATGCACCCGATCTCTTTTTAGTTATAGGAAATATGTATGCTGTATGGCAGGCTAACATTTCCTAAACGCAACTGTTCAGGGTGTAGGATGTATTGAATAATTTTCTTCAAATTAGGGGAACGTTCTTGGACATTCTCATATTTAACATGAATTCTTTTCGTTATCTGATTGGGAGGAATGTCTCCCCGGCACCGACAAATGGCCAATTGAAACAGCAGTTCTCCATTCACCAAAATAATCACAATCAATAATCAAGAGTATGGCAGAAAAACAACACTCCACTTCTGTTCCCTATTATTTATTTTCTCAGAACTTAACCGTACATATTCTAGGAGATTAATTTCTTCTCTATCAGTTATAAAGTCAGTCCAGCATAACTGACAGTGTATCAACTATCTCTTTGCTGACCCATTCTGTTGTAGCGCCGTAATAACATTATAACGTCAATGTTGCCAGATCAGGTATTAATTTTTCTAGACCTCACACAATGAAAATTTAAAAGCATACGCTGTGCCAGAACATTTGTATTCATGTTTTAAAAATAACTTGATAGTTTAATTAATAATTGAAGGTATTGTTGACTTTATAGCTTTATTTATCCCACATAATTGTACACGGCATATATAAAAAAGTACTGTAGATACATATTAAGACTACCTGCCCCACCGTGAGCTGCCGTCCTAAGCCATGCATGTCCTGGTTGGCTATTCGATATCCGGCCTATGCAATATAAAGATATTGGGACGCAGACGTAGCGTAGGATGAAAACAAACATATTATACGAACAAAGACGCACAAGTTCATACAATCTCAAACTCACCATTGCACATATTCAACCAAAGAAACACACACAAAACACATACTACTGAAAAACGAACCAATCACGACACCAAGGTCAAAATTAACTCACTGAAGAATACCGAGTATTTATCCACAAGTTTCACCAACATGCCCATTATGAATCTTTGGATAATTCGTGTAATAAGGATAATTCTGGGTAATTTGAGGAGTTCAGGTTATATGAGTTCTGGAGTGGCTGGCTACCACAAAGGAAGCGCTGAATCTGTATCGAGAGTTCTGAGTGGCTGGGCACCACAAACGAAGCTCTGAATCAGGAGTCGAGCTTGAGCCACATTTCTCTGAACCATCTGTGATTTTTTGCTGATCAGCTGAATAAAAACGTTTCCCATTATTCCTGCAGAAGCAATCCAGTTTTTCTGTTCGTGAGCATTTACATGTAATATCCGGTCCTTGGTCATTACAAGAGCGCATGTTAGATAGAAGTTTCTGATCGCGGTTCAGTGCCTGGGAGTCGAGCCTCAGCTGTCACTTTAAAGGCATCAGTACTTATGGTGTCAAATTAAGCAAAACAAATATGGCCACGCCAGCCATCCGATTAAGTGTTATTACTAAGGTTCCGTGCGACGCTTTATATCATGTGCTTCAACACCACAAGAGCCGCATGTTCGTACTGGAGATATTCAGTGTGTGGCGGAGATGTGGGACGAACTTTAGACCAGGGACAGCCAGACGTG